GGCTGTAAGGCCAAATTCAGCTCATTTTCTGTTTTTATAAAGTTTTGTTGGAACACAGCCATACTTATTTCATTATAGTTTGTCTGTAGCTTCTTGAACATTACAATGACAGAGTTGAGTAGTAGCAACAAAGACCTTGGCCCGCAGCCTAACTGGCCCTGTACAGTAATAATTTGCTGACCCCAATTTATTCCCCCATAACCAATAACCCTCATTCCCATCCACCTGCCAAACCCATTTGTATTATTTTGAAGCAAATAATAATCATGTCATTTGATTGGCAAATATTTCAATATGTATTACTAAATCATAAAGTCATTACCACTTCTAAAAAGAGATTTCACAATAATTTCTTAATATCATAAATAGCCAATTATTGTTCAAATTTCCAGTTACCTCCAGGTCATAAATCTTTGTAGGTTTTTTGTTTTTATTTTTTACAGTTTGTTTGAAACAGGATCCAGATAAGTTCCACACATTGTGATCGGTAATGTTCCTGAACTCCCTTTTAATCTATAAGTTTTTCCTGCATTTCTCACTCTCTTCCTTTTTTTTTGTTCCTTGCAATTAATTTTTTTGAAAAGAAACCAGGTTGTCCTGCAGAGTTTCCCACAGTCTGGATTCTGCTGACTATATTAGTGTTTACCTGGTTCCAATGTCCCTTGTATGTACTGTAAATTGGTAATTAAGTTTAGAGGATTTTAAAGAGAGTGTGAAGCACTTCAAAGGAGCAAGACCATAGCTGCTGCTTATGGAAGCTAATGTGAACACAGGATTATTCATTTCCATTTTGCTCCTTTTATCATCAATCTAAGAAGGATTTTTTTTTTTTAAAGCACAAGTAATTAAAACCCAAAATAGTTGATAAGGGAATAAATGATAGATTGTATTGTAGGAAGTGTTGAGTCCTCAAATATGAGCCCTTTAGATATGTAGAAAACGTAAGCCTCTAATTCTCTTTATTTTTCTCTAATCAAGAGCAGTCCTAATTAGAAGTCCTCATGCCATCAGGTGGTAGAAATTTAATCAGTCAGCTAAATGTTCTCCCCATCTGCTCAGCCTGATAAACTAACCCCATTTCAAATCTCGCCTCCCGAGTGAAGTCTCCCAGGCCAGGTCGGACCTTCACCTCGTGCTCACTCCGCTTCAATACCATTCGCTTTCTTACTGTTCCAGAACACAGCAACTTTGTGCTACCTCACATGTTATTCTTTGTGAAGAGAACGCTCTTCTCTTCAGGTCTTAACAGGCCTCACTTTCTCATGTCAGCAGGGACTCTGCTCAAAGGCACCTCCTCAGAGAGGGTGTTTCTGGTCCCATGAAAAAGGGCACCACACCAACACTTTCATTTCTTCACAGCACTTACCACTGTCAGAAGTTACAGCATGTATTTATTTGTTTACTTGTATGCTCTGTGTCCCACATGAGAACATAAACTCCATGAAAGCAAGAACTTTGTCTCTTTCACATGGTATCTCTACAGTGTAGAACTGTGCTTGGCACGTACTTGATGCTGGCAAATATTTGTTGAATGAATGAATAATCTCAAACTGATCTTGCATCTTCCAAACTTTCTTCTGTATTAACTATTTTCATCTCATTTTGGTTCTGAACTCTATTCTCTTGTATTGGGTTTCATGATTCTTCTCCTTAATAAAATTACCAGCGATTGGAGCATAAGGTCTGGGTTTTACAATTCCTTACCACTTCCCATAATGGCTGGCACAGATTGGGGAACATAGTAGTGATTAGTAAATACTTTTTTAATTGTAGTGGGATGATTTGGTTTTGCTTATTCCTTATAGTGAAGCTTAAAACATCACACATAGATTTGTTAATCCTTCATATAAATCATTTGAATATCAAGTACATTTTAAATTCAGGCTTTTTGTAATTGAGAGAAGGCTAAAGGCAAATGGAGACAGGGGATGTACAAAAGGGGCCAGGTCTACCCATTTTTCAGGTAGTAATGGGTGAGGTGGTCCTTTCCAAAATGTTTGTTTGGGGCCCCCATTTTTAAACGTGGCCCAATGTCAGGATGACCATGTAGTCCTCTGACAGCTGATTGTCTCCCCAGAGGAGCATCTGGATGCTAAAGACATCCTTGTTACTAGATTCAATTAGTTCACCACATTCATCTATTAAAATCAATACAATTTCAAAATGAGATCCTAAAGTAACTACTAAGAGATCCTCTTTAACAAAAAAATAAAAAAGTCGTTATCAATTGTCCTATCTTAGAATGATATTTATCTTTTGACTTTGTTATGTCCTCTTAGAACCTGAAAATATAATTTCTCTCTCCTCTGGATTCTTTTTCTATTTAGTAATCTTTGATTATTATTATTATTTTTTGTTCTCTCTATATTCTTAATGCAGCTCGTTTAATATGACACATTTAACATCTTCATTTCATAAAGGCCTTTATTAGGCCAGGACATCTCTCTGTATAGCCTCTGTGATTAAAGTCAGCTCGATTCTGGGAAAATTGTTTTTAATTAGTGCTGGCTCTGAAATGGTCAGAGGAACACCAATATCTGGTACTTAGGTATTGCACAGACCTTGTCACTATTAGTCTGAATAAATAACCTCTTAGATTTTCTGAGTGGGACCTATGAGGATATATTTATTCAACTAAAGAGAAGCTAAAGGTTATGAAATAATCTACTGATTTGGAGAGTGTCCTCATTCGCTTCTTGGGATTATCCTTTCAGCCATTAGGGATAGCAACACAGAGCACACCGTAGGTACTCAACAAATTATCATAAACTGATGAGTGATATCCACTGAAGTGAATTTGTTTCTCTGGAGGTACTCTCCATAGCCCTGTGTGGGAGGAATCTCACTCTATATTCTATTCCTAGTTCTGCTATTTTTCTACTACTATGATCCTCAGTTTCTTCGTCTAAACCGCACCCTCCCCAATCCCTACACATCTATCTCATGGGATTATTGAGAGAACAAAATGGAAACACATATGTGAACATGTTTTGCAAACTACTAGGTACTACATAGGGCTTATAAATACAGTAAAGCAGCAACTCAGCCTCAGAGTGGTCAGAAAACATTGTCCCTGATCTATATACAAACTTTGGGGGTGTCCATAGTCCCCTAGAATACAGTACTTTTTCAATCTAAGACGCCTTGGGGAGCTGATGCCTGAGGCTCTAGTCTTCAGGGCCTAGGTTGGGCCTACAGATGCCCTTAACCTGGAAGGGCTCCCATTTTGTTTCAATTTAGGAGAAATTGTGGTGATAAACAGGTTATTTCCAGGGCCACCTTAATGTCCCCATTTCCTTTTCACACTTTCATGGTCTCTATCACTTACTTTATCTGTTTCAACCCTTAGACATACACACCCCTAACAAAAAAACCATAACTTTTTTTTTTTTTTTTTAACCTCCTGTACCAGTCAGGATGAGCTAAATTTGTCTATAAGAGCAAACAGTCCGTGAATCTCAGTGGAATAACCACTTGTTCACTACCATACTGTTATTTCTCACTCACCGAACCTGGACAGTGCAGATTAATAGGAGTGCTCAGCTTATCCTAGTCTCTCATAGACCCAGATGACAAAGGTGCCATCTCAATCAATATTTTCATTATAAGAAAGGCAGAGCAGCTATTCCCATAAGTGGTCTGAGGTGACCTCTGAAAATGGTTTACTATTCACTTGACGCAGAAAAACCCACAAAATCATGAAGATCAAGAGGTTCATATCTTTATGTTGACTTTAAAAACACTCGTGAAACCGCCTAGACCATCGAGGGTATGCATATCTGAAAAGCCACCAAGTATCAGAAGGATGTCACTTTACAGAAGCAATGTGTGCCATTCCATTGTTACAATTGTTACAGTGGTGCCCAGGCCAAACAGTGGGGCTGGATGCAGGGTCAGTGGCTCAAAAAGAGTGCTGAATTTTTGCTGCACATGCTTAAAAATGCAGTAATGCTGATATTTAGATGTAGATTCTCTGGTCCTTGAGCACATCCAGGTGAACATAGCTCCCAAGATGCCTCACAGAATTTACAGAGCTCACAGGTGGATTAACCCTACCTGAGCTCTCCCTGCCACGCTGATTCTCACTGAGAAAGAGCAGATTGTTCCTAAACCAGAAGAGGAGGTTGCACAGAAGAAAAAGATATCCTGGAAGAAACTGAAGAAACAAAAACTTATGGCCCGGGAGTAAATTTAGCATCAAATAAGTGCTAATAAAAGTAAAAAAAGAAAAGAAAAAGAAAGAAAGAAAGAAATATAAGTAACGTATAGAAAGAGAAAAGAAAGAAAAGAGAAAGAAAGAAAGGCAGAGCAAAGAGAACAAGGCAAACTACATGCCGTGTTGTAAAGCTTACGGGAACCCGAACTAGGGCTCGGGTTCCCGTAACTACCCAGAATGACACATTGTACTTCCACTCATGTTACATTGGCCAAAGCAAGTCCTAACTTTAATCTTCTCTGGGCCAATAGTGGAAATAGGGATGAGAAAGAAACGGGAACAAATTACCACCTGGACAAATCCCATGTGAAGATTTTTAGATGGGTATACCCTTGATAAGAAGCCTTAAAAATGTTGCTGAGGTACAGATCTACTAATTGTTTCTGCAGTAGCTGGATCATGTCTCTGGTAGCGCCCACCGTTTCAGATTGATATTAATCTGTTTAATCTGTTTAAGTCTGTTTCATCTGCTGGGCTCTGAGCTCCTAAGAATCCTCTGTCTTATGCACCCTTTATCCAAACCAAGCGGTTATTCACACAGGGCAGTTATAATAAAAATGTCAGTTTGTGCACATGGTTCGGGAAGTCCACGGGCCCAGGAAGATTTGTACTGCATTTGTAGAGTAAATTTTTAAAAATTTACATATGAAATATCTTTGAATTCTGTAGTAAATTCATATCAAGTCTGCATATGAGTAAGAGCAATATCTCCAACTTATTAAGGAAACGTACTCAGAAGGTCAAACCCTAAATCGAAGGACATACAGATTAAATACCCCCCCAGATGAACTTCAGCTGCGAGAGTAGGCAGGCGCGTCAGAAGCTTTTTGAACTCTTTGGGCCACCGTCGCCGAAACCTCGTCGCTTCCTCTATTTATGCGCCTGCGCGCTGCTGGAGCGTCATCCATTTCTCCATCTGGAAGGACGTTGGTATTAAGGTGAGTCGTATTTCTTTGCGTCCCTCGTTCGGGTTCCCGTAACTGTCGCCTCCCGCTGGCTGCTCTTTTTGCCTTGGATTTGAGCCGTGACTCAGCAGCTCTACGGTGGGGAGCTTCGGACTTCGCGGCCGCGTCGACCCCGGCACGACCTGCCGCGGCCTCAGGAGAGTGGCGGGGGTCCCGCGGGGGCCGGTGGGCTGCGGAGGCCTTGAGAAACCAGCCGGGTTTTGAAGGCGGCTGGACCGGTCCCGTGCCCGCTGTGTTGTTTTTTTCCCTAGTCAGTGTGACCTTGGCTAGGTCATTTGATCTGGCTGGTCCCAGTGTTTCCACTTGTAAAACGGAGTGGGCTCATTTAGCTGTCATTTGGCGTGTCAGCGTTGGGGATTCAGCCATAACGCTGGCGCTCGGTCGGTGTTGTCCCGTATCTTTTGTGAAGGATCATAGTGCCCGTGGCAGGAAGGCGAGGCCGCACTTCCTACAGCCTCCCTCCCGCACCTGGTCTTTCCACCAACCCACCGGCCGCGTTACGGGAGGGAGGTCTGCGGGGACCGCCCGCGCGCTGCAGCCTTGGGGCCGAGCTTCTCTGTGATCTCGAGGAACGGCTGGTTCCCATCCGAGTTTCAGTCACTTCGTGTGCCCCGGCTTTCTCATCAATAAAGTGGGAATAATTTGTTTCACATGGTTGTTTCGAAGATTGAGTGAGTTAATAGTAAGTTTCTAAAAGAGTAAATGCTATAAATGCGCTTCTAGAGCCATTGCTTACCGTTCCAGTAGTTAGTAGAGATTTTTGTTTGTAGTTTTTGCTTCACCATATATTCTGTGCCGCAGTTATCTTTATTGGTTTAGGGTTGTCGTTCAGCACGTGAGAGGGGAAGGAATAAGGTGAAGTAGATGTGGGAGTTCAGAACAGGTCACCACAGAACGTGCTGCTGTGGTATGCGGATTGTTTTGAGCTAAGGGCGATTTTAGCTTCAGGCTCAAGAGAAACTTCAGCACTTCCCTTTACCTAGAAGAACTCGAATTAGGGGCCTTGCCTATAACAAGAGATTATTAGCAGTAATTTTTTTGACCCATCTTTATGGCAAGACAAACTTATTTACTAAACATGTTTAGTTATTTGGCTGTGACCCTTCGAAGACCCCAAGGTACATTTACCTCATCCCTAGCTCAGAATCTTGTATACCTAGATTCCCTTTCCTGTCTCTGAATCTCTGCTGCATGTGGGGGTCTCTGACTCTCATTTATGTGGGGTTCCCATACATATATATTAGATTTGTTTCTTTCAAATCTTGTTTCATGTCTATTTTATTATTAGGCCTGCCAAAAGAACCTTGATGAAGGAAAGTTTGTTCCTCCACACAAGGCTAAACCATTAAACATCTTAGGTTTTGTGAGAGGAGTCAGTCCACTATCTATCGTTCCTATGCCTCCTTAGGTACTAACATGCATTATGCATAAGAATTCTTTAGATGTTCTAATAATTTCTTTTTAATTTTATCCACCAGGGAAAATACAACTACCATGACTTCCAGTGCTTTGACGAAACCTCAGATGCGTGGCCTTCTGGCCAAGCGTCTGCGATTTCACATTATTGGAGCAGTCATTATATCTCTGGGGGTTGCAACTTTCTATAAGGTATGCTTGACTTTTACTTTGTGCTTATAGTCTAAAAATACAGTTCTAATTTAAATTTAGAACTATTTTTTTTATAAGTAACGTATAGCCTTAAAGATTAATGCGCTCATTCCTGACTGTTCCTCCACTCACCTCATGTGACGGGAAAGTACCTCATTCACCAGATAGCTTGTCCTCCATCTTTAAATCAACCTGTATTAATTTGCTAGGGCTGCTATCACAAAGTACCACAAACTGAGTAGCTTAAACAAAATTTATTTTCTGCTCTGGAGGCTAGAAATCCAAGAACAAGATGGCTGCAGGCTTGATTTCTTCTGATTTCTCCTTGGTTTGTAGATGGCTGTCTTTGTCTTCACAGGGTCTTCTGTATTAGCATATCTGAATTTTATGAGGATGCTAGTCATATTGGATTAGCACCCACCCTAAAGACCTCAGTTTAATGACTTCCTTAAAGATCTTATCTCCAAACATGAATTCTGGGAGACACAATTCAGCTCATAACACAGGCTATAATTGTTTTATTTAAGCAGTGGGATGGGGAAGGCAGTAGTTCTGTTTGGCACTGTTAAAAACAAAATTCGCCTGATTAAATTTGAAGATCTAATTGGCTTTATTAAGCAATTCATGAATTAGGTAGCTTCCCATTTAGCCACTAGAAGGGATCTCCCAGCTTTGTATAATTTGGAAGGTTTTTCTAGAAAATAAGGGGCAAGGAAGCTTTTAAGAAAAGAAGGGATTATTTTTAGATCAGGACTTCTTTTGTGGGAAGGGAATGCAAGATCTTTTTATCTTGCATATTGCTTCTTTTTATGAGAGGGTGGAGGATGGAGAGGGCCCTTGTGACAGATTACCTGACTTGGGTGCTTGACCGAAAAATTCCAGGCTGGATGATTAAGATGATTAAGATTTTTCTTGTAGTGGTTGAAACAATTAGGTCAGGTATTAAACCTAGGTTTGATGTCATGATTTTTTCTTTGTTTCTGTATCAATGTCTCCACCCTTTGTTTTATTAAATATGGAGTTAAGTTAAAGGTAAACACAAACATTCTGATTTATGTTGTCTTTACATAGTAAATTTTTAATAATCTGGAAAATAAGCCCTAATGGATTATGCTGCTTTTTAGTTTGCTGTGGCTGAACCAAGGAAGAAGGCATATGCAGATTTCTACAGAAATTATGATTCTATGAAAGATTTTGAGGAGATGAGGAAGGCTGGTATCTTTCAGAGTGCAAAGTGATTTCAGAATATAAAGGTAATGTTATTTGAAGTTACTGTTTAATTGTACAATACACATAAAATTTACCATTTTCACTATTTTTAAATGTATAGTTCAGTATTGTTAAGTACAGTCACGTTGTCATACAACCAATTTCCAAAACTCTTCATCTTGCAGAACTGAAACTATACCCATTAAACAACTCCCTTCCCTCCCAATCCTGGCAAGCACCATCCTACATCATATTTATCTGTGTGATTGGCTTATTTCACTTACTGTAACATCCTCAAGGTTCATCTTGTTACAGCATGTGTTAGAATTGAGTAAATTCCAGAAGTGGAGTTGCTGGATCATATGGTAGTCCTATTTATAATTTTCAACGATCCACCATATTATTTTACATAGTGGCTGCACCATTTTACACTCTACTGATGCAGGACAGGGCAAATTTCCCTGAGGTGGTGGGGGGAGACCAAGCCCTACACGGAGAGAAGAGGCCCTTTGGCAGAGAGTGTAGAAGGAATTCAACACATGCGCCAAAGTGAGTCAGCGAAAGTTTATTAGAGAAGGGGTAACACTTCAGAGAGTGTGGTCTCCTCTCAGAGGCAGAGAGTGAGGGACAGTGGGAGGGATCCTGAGTGTTCAGGGTATTCAGTTTATATGTCATTCTTTAGTTCCCATTTCCTTTGATATGGACATACAGTGAAGAAGGGGAAGTATTTGGGAGGGGATGGTAAGAATATGTAGAGTGAAAGGCCTGCTTGGCAGTTCCTAGCCTTTAATTCATAGGTTCCCTCATAGTTTTAGCCATAGGTAATGACTCTTGGTCTTGGTTCCGGGTTCCGCTTCACAGATGTGGGGAATGGGTTGTTAGCAACCACAGCAGAAGTCTTTCTTTGTTCTGCACGTGTCTTCCTGGCCTGGCTGCAAGGTTGATCAGCACACTGCGGTCTCTGATTGTGGCTTGATTAACATTTTAATTCTCTTGCCTCCTCCCTACACTACTACCAACATACAGATTCTCCATATCCTTGCTAACACTAGTGTTTCTGGTGGTTTTTTTTTTTTGATAGTCCTCATCCGAATGGATGTGAGGTGATATTTCATTGTGGTTTTCATTTATAGTTTCATAATGGTTAATGATGTTGAGCATTTTTTTCTCATGCTTGACCATTTGTATATGTTTTTTGGAGAAATGTCTGTTCAAATCCTTTGCCTATTTTTAATCCAATTGGGTTTTTTGTCGTTGTTGAGTTGTAGTTCTTTAAACCAGGAGTCTCCAACTGCGGACCAGTGCAGGTCTGTGGCCTGTTAGGAACTGGGCCGTAAATCAGGTGAGCGGTGGGTGAGCAAAGCTTCATCTGTATTTGCAGCCGCTCCCCAGCGCCAGCATCACCGCCTCAGCTCCACCTCAGATCATCAGGCATTAGACTCTCATAGGAGCACCAGGCCCTGGTGCCAAAAAGGTTGGGGACCACTGCTTTAAACCCTGTATAATTTGCAAATATTTTCTCCCATTCTGTAGATTGACTTCACTCTATTGATTGTGTCTGATGAACAGACATTTAAATTTTGATGGAGTCTAATTTATGTAATATTTTTGTTGCCTGTGCTTTTGGTGTCATCTAGGAAATCATTGCCAAATCCAATGTCATAAAGCTTCTCTTGTTCTCTTCTAAGAGGTTTTAGTTTTAAAAATTAAATTTAAATTTAAAAGTGTTCTCTTCAGTTTTTTTTGGAAGAGCTTGAGGAAGATTGGTATTCTTTAAATGTTTAGTGTAATTCACCTGTGAAGCCATATGATCCAGGGCTTTTCTTTGTTGGGAGGTTTTTGATTACTGATTCAATTTCCTTACCAGTTTATGGATCTGTCATGGTCTGTCCTGCAGAATGTTCCATAAGCAGTTGAGAGTATTGTGTTTTCTGTTTTCATTGCTTAGAATGTTTTGTAACTGTTATGTCCAATTTGTAGTAATGTTGTTCAAGTCTTTTATTTACGAAGTGAGATGATCATAACAAGTAGACGATGCAGTTAGAAACATCTGAACGTGAAAACAAATATATTACAAGAAATTCTATATAGTATTAGAAATTGATACAATAAATAGTTGTCATTTTATTCTATGCCAATACTACTGTCATTTAAAGCTTAAATACTAGTTTTAAGTATCCCCTATAAAATAACTTTTATTGAAATACTGGAAAAGAATTTTTCTAAAAACAAGATTGGTACGTTAAAAGTAGATTTTCCATGTCCTTGTTACAATATCCACTATAATTGAATGCTGCCTTAATTGTCCCTAAGATCTGCATTATTCAGTTAGTGTTAAAATTTTTAAAATAATTATCACAGGTTAAAGTACTTGTAAAAAACAGCATTTCAACATTATTATGAAGAATGCCCCTCTAAGGTAGAGGAGAATAATCGTAATGATATTGTATGGACTTGCTGCCGTGTGAGCCTTATTTTAAATGGAAGTTGGAGGTTAAGGAGAAAACTGGAAAGGCATCCAGAAAGCTGTTCTTTTCAGGCTGTGGCTGCTCTTTCTGCTCTTCAGCTTGAAGACATGTCCCTGAGGGCGTAAAGGATGACTTTGTAGTGGAAAATGTATTGATCCTCCTCTGAACCATTCCATGTCTTTATAGTCTCATGTCAAATTCAGGATCTTGACCGATTAACCCTAGAACCACATCTATGCATCTGTTACTGGAGAACTCTATTTTAACATGGCTTTGCATTATTGTCTCATATATTTTAATTTCAACTTGTAGAAGTCTCATTGCAGACCTAGTAGTAATGAGTTCCTAATCCTTTAACTTTTATTTATCTGAGAATGTCTTTAATTTCTTCGTTTTCGAAGGACTCTTGCTAGATACAGTATTCTCTTTTGACAGTGTTTTTTTTTGAGCACTTTAAATATATTCGACAGCCTTCTGACCTGCAAGGTTTGTACTGAGAAATCCACTGACAGTCTTACAGAGGCTGTCCCTTGTAGGTTGTGAAAGTTTTCTCTCTTGCTGTTTTCAAGATTCATGTCTTTGGTTTTTGTCAGTTTGACTACAATGTGTCTTGGTGGGGTCTTTTTGGGTTCATCCTACTTTCAAGTAACTTCTTGTATTTGTATATCCATTTCTTCAAATTTGGGCAGTTTTTGACCATTTTAAAAAATAAATTTAAGTCCTTTAAGCTCTCATTTACTTTTTTTCTTTTTGCTTCTCTGATTCAATTCAGAAAACTGTTTTCAGATTTGCCTGTGTGTGAGTCTGTTGTTGAAACCCTCTAATGAGTTTTTCAATTCAGTTACTGTATTTTCTGTAGAATTTGTATGTTTAAAACAATTCCTTTGTTGATATTCTCAATTTGTTCATGTAGTTTTCTTGATTTTGTTTAGTTGTCTTGACTTCTTTCGCGCGAGCATATTTAAGACAGTTGTTTTAAAGTCTTTATCATGTTAAATAGCCATCTCTCCCACTGTGTGCATTGTGCGTGGACTGGCTTCATGCAGGGGAAGATCTTCACTAAACAGCCTGGCACGAAAGCTCGGGTTGTTTCTGACTTTTTCTGGGGCTATGTCTTCCTTGAGCCTTTGCAGGCATTTTTGTTGCAGTTATACTCAGTTGCTTTTAAGAATTCCTAAGAGTCTCACACTGGCTTTCTCTAGTAGCCTTAGCTCTTTTTCTGTTCTGCCCATAACCTATTGCTCATTGGTGCCCTTGAGTCTTCAGCTGCTTTCAGCAGTTTGCAATCTGCTATCTAAACTGTCACCAGTCCCATCAGTGTTCTGAGATTGGCAAGATAGAAAAGTCCCTCAAGCCAGAAAGTTGCAAGCAGGGCTCACTTCCTTCTGTCCTGAGGGGAGGAGCCAGGAATTGGTTAGGTTCCTCCTGACCACGCTGTTGCACTTATAAGGGGTGGGGCAAAGGTGAGAAAAAAATCTCAGTTTCGAGTGTCGCTTTTTCTTGTTTAGGTGTTTGTTTGCTGCAGATTCTTAACTGATTTCTAGAGTTCTCACACACACTTTGGTGCATATGTTTTTCTTTTTCTGTGGGGGAGTGGGAGTCTGGTGCTTTTTAGTGCACCACCTTGCAGGCATACGAAGCTACTTATGTTAAAAATCATTTCACATATTATTAATTGGTAGATTGGCATTAGGAAAAAATCACATTTTTAGAACTGCTTTTAAAAGTTATTGACACCTTTTGTTAATTGGGCGTCCATAAGTGACTTGATGGCTTCCCATAGATTCTGGTTTGGTCTGTCATGTCTACAAAGTCCTTATGCCTCTGGATAGTGTGAATTAAGATTTTATGTCTAGAAAAGGACAGATGAAGGGATTGTGTGCTGATGAAAGGTCGTCCACTGAATTTATGTGAAAACATGTATCAAGTACTGGATGAACGTTCATGTATTTAACTTTATGCAGGTCAACAAAAAAGATAGAACAGTGTAACAGAGTTAGGTGATCTCCACCACCCCAGTGTGAGTTTGATGTGATAAGGGGAATGAGAATCTGCTTTTCAGGCAGACTACCCAAGTGAGCATTCCACATGCCACATGTACATATCTTCCCCAAGATTGGGGGTAGGGGTTTGGGGAGACCTGCATTGGATTTAGATTGGTTTTCTGAAAGATTCAAGGATGATTTTGATTAAGTTACTTGCCTGATATTAGATTCAATTCTGTAATATTCCATTTGTATAGTTTATCTTAATATCTGAAATGCAGATAGATGCATGCAGTAATTAGCTATAAAATTACTTAGAACTTTATTTCCAGTGGTTGGAAAATTGATAAGGAATTGTGCCTTTTTCATACTACTGTTAGGTCCATTAGAAATGATATTCACAAAGTAACATGAAGAGATTATAATAGAAAACTAAGAATTTTAAGTATGATCTGTTAAATTGCACATTAAAAAAAGACTGAAGGTAAAAAGATCAAGAAGATATTACTGGTTCTGTGTGGAATCTTAATCTTAACATTGGTGTTTTCTTACACCTTTGAACTTTTCAAATTTTCCACAATGGGTGTACGTAACGATCAGATGTTAACAGGATGATTAACCTTTTTTATAAGAAGTTGGTTGTGTTTAAAAACCAATAAGAAAAATGGATTTGGAGACAAAGAAATTGTTTAGAGCAGATGGGCTGCCACTTTTAAAACAGTATGTGGGTATGAGGAAGGAAAGGAGAGGGGTAGACTTAAGAGATAATTAAAAAGCAGAATTTGGTAAATGAAAACAATAAACCAGTGTAAGGTGTGGTAATGCCATAAATGGAAAAGAGGCTGGTCAGGGAGCTTGGTGGAGGATGGACCTGGAGCCCAGGCAGCCTGAACTGGGCTTCTGGGTGAAACATGAGTGAGCAAAGTGTGGGCTCCACTAGTAGGAATAGACCTCAGGTGATCTCAAGGGTGGTGAGATATTGAGAGAATGCTTGTCATTAACTTAGCCATTGTGTTTTTCTCCACAGAATTTGAGTTGACTTCCATGAAAATTTTGTCACTGACCTGTGTTCCTGAAATATGAAGCATGAATATTTGGGCTAAGAAATAGTTTCTCTTGATAAATAAACAGTTAACAAATACTGTGGACAATAAGTCTTTGCTTATTTATTTTCACCGATATATCTGGGCAGTTGCATCAGAATTGGTTAGGGGTTTTAACGCATTGTGAGTCTTAGGTAACTTGATTTCAGTATTAAAAAATATCATTTTAGGACATTTTTGATTGCTCTTATATTTTGTCCATTTCCTAGATACTGCTCAGCATAGTTTCTTGGTCCTGGGCCATCAGTTTAGGGGGCCTACATGAGCCCACCATGACTACACTGTGGGCTCTCAGAAGAGACAGATCGCTGTCCAATAAAATGTGTCCTGGGGTCTTAGCGTCACCGTTTGGTAGCCTTGCTGGATCGACCACCAGACAGACCTAATATATAACTGAAATTAAGGGTTCTTTATTCAGTAATGCTTTATTAAAGAGCTAACAATATAGGATATACGTGCAATTTGGAATATGTATCTAGCCGAGTTAAGTGGCATTGAGTCGTGTCTGCTAATGGCTGTGCCGACTTTTAGATCTTAGGACCTATCTCCCTTTGTTATTTTGTTGTGATCAAAGTGATACCGCAAAGAGCTTTAAACATTGTTTATTTTTCCAAAGCAAATTTAATCACCAATTGTCATTTTATAACAAAAGTTTCATCCTTTTTAACTTAGTTCTTAAGTCCTAATGTGAGCTAATTTAAATCCTGTTATCAGTGAAAATTTGCATTTAATAAAAACCCCTGGTAACAATACACATTTAGGTGTGGTCAGGAATTGAAAGATTCCTTTTATTTTAAACAATTTTATATAACAATTCTTAGTAAGCACAGTTACCATAAAAGATATGAATACATATTTACATTCTTAAAATAGTTACTCTTGAGGCTGACAACTCACTTTCCTAAATGAGTGTGATAACATACTAATGGAGGAACCATTTTTCCATATTCAGTCTGCACTGTCCATTAGCAGTGTTGCTTTCAGAAATAACTAATGTGACTTCTTATGCCCAATAACCTGAGACTTCTTATATAACGCCTACAGCATCAGGTCTTAAAGATCAGTGGGCATGTGAAATTGAATTTTCTTAGTGTTTCACAATTGTAGGTAACAGGTTGCAGGCCCAAGTTGGGATGTAACCAGTAAGTGTTTTAATTGGAGTCTTGAGATACTTACTGAATATTAAACATGATATCTAGTGATTTAGGATCTTGAGCCAAATGTGTCATTAAATGCAAAATAATAGTATTAGAAACCAGGATTTTTTTTTTTTTTATAACGCCTACAGCATCAGGTCTTCCTAGGTGGTCTCCCATCCAAGTACTAACCAGGCCCGACCCTGCTTAGCTTCCAAGATCAACGGGATCGGGCGTGTTCAGGGTGGCATGGCTGTAGACCAGGAATATCCTTATACTTGAGCAAGTCAATTCAAAATAAACAATTTGGTCTGGTTTATTGAGGTTAATTTTGAGGTTCTTGACTCTTAACCAGTGCAGCAGGGCAGCATGAACCCGGTATACCCCTTCCACAGGGCATGTCAAAGGTGGTATGTTTTATGAAACTAAAACTCAATGAGCATTTTGAGTCTTCATCAGTTGACACAAAAGATGTACTCTAAGCTTGACTTAGTAAAACAAACTAGAAAAAAATTTTCCAAAATGTATGGATAGTCATCAGAATGGTAAATTTCGTAAACTGTAGACTTTAAAGTAGAAACACACACATGAGCTTTCACTTAAATACATCACATATAAGAAATTTAACAAGTTAATAAAATCCTAAACATGTAATTTCATTTAAAGACACCCTTTGCAGATGAGGGCATTAGGCAAAGAACAGTCTCAGCCTAAAATGAGATGTAACTCGGAATGAAGTTTTAATGTTTTCCCTGCTATTCTATTCTTAAGGCCTGACCACATTTTACGTTAGAGTTGAGAATTAACAGGTCCTAATTACAGTCAAAATTTTAGCAAATAAAAGCAAAAAGGAATGCATTTTCTATGGTAAGAGTACAACATACAGGATTCTGTTAATCATTGTCTCCAAATGGGAAAGGAAGAATTTTTTATCCATTAGTGTCAAGTTTTAGAAGGAAGAATCTGAATTTTAGAAGAGGCTAGAAAATTACCTATTAACTACAGAAAAGTGTTGATCTTGGAGCCAATATCAGATGTTAGAGCTAGTTAGGTTTCTTTTTCAAAAATAAATTGCACAAGCAGGAACTGACACCAGAGGAGGGGCCTCAGGGGAACCCTTTCCTCAGGGCTTTATTTTTCACCATGGTAAATTTACTAATGAAGACTTGAGCAAAATGCGGATCAACCATATAGTGGTATGTTTTCACAGTGGAGGGGAGAGGTTCCACAGCTACCACAGGGCATGGTGTCTGCATGGAAGAGCAGCTGGGGGACAGGTGACAAGATGTCTTTGTGACATAGTCCACAAGTCTGCTGTACTGTTGCTCTGATAGTCTCTCTCGGACTCCATCCACCTGGGATCCAAAAATAAAAGATGCTTTAGTTGTCAAACTCATAAGGAGACTACCACAACAAAACTACTCCTTTTCTTCTGCCTTGATACATTTGATATATTTTTAGGTTACCTAATAAAGCCATTTAATCCAAAACCGTTTCCCTTTTCTTCTTGCAATAACACTAATTAAAGCAGTATAACAAAAAGCTACACAAGAACATAAGGACAACCTCCTTTGAATAAGCATTTGGTGGTATGTAAAACTCCCATGTTTAAAGTTGATTTGGTAACATTTTACTCGTTAACTATTAAAACATTTGTCACTGCTCTTTATTAATTAACCAGCCCAGGAACAAAGAATGAATCCTGCTAAACCCCTTTCACAGAGGGTTTCTGCTTAAATCTAATCACAGTTAAACTAAGCTCTGAAATAAAAGCTGTTCGCCTGCGTCCTCAACCCTTTTCAGACAACCTTTTCAGTCTAACAGAAAAAGTGAAGAGCACCTCTTTCAAACCAGTGGCTTCGGACAGAGCAGTAAAAAAATACCTTTTGAACTGTAACATTTTCTGTTTTTATAAATACTAGGATTTAAAGCCAGATAAAATAAAACTGGGCAGAGGAAGGGGAAATTTTTATGGAAAAAAGGAGGATGCAAAGTACATTTATGGTTCATAAAAGTCTGGCTCATCTTCAGTGGAACTCAAACAACTGAAATATACTACGTAAGTTCGTAAGTGAGGTTTTCTGAGAAAGCACCCATCAAAGGCAGTCGGAGCTATAAATTACTCCCACCCTGAATCTGTAGCGAACTAGTGTGTACATAAGGGGACTGGTAAGTTTCCAGTGTAAGCCTCGGGTCTGTGGGAATCAGGTAGCCACTGACCTTACAGTGGTTTTTAGTAAATGTTGGCAAGCCCACTCTGGAAGAATTAAAAACTTTTAAAGAGGGCTTTTTAGTTCTCAAAGTAGTAACGTAAAGAATTTCTGTATGTTTCCTGTGCAGGGCACATAAACAATGGCCAAAGGTGTCTTAAAAGTTGCAGAAAGCCAGTGGGGTGGTAAAGAGGCCGGCAGAATAGTAAGCAGGGTATCTGTTAGAGTTTGCGTCTCATTTTTAGTCTTAGGAAGAAAAATAAAGGCCCCCAAAGATTCACTGACACATGAAAGCTGCGCAGCACCAGGCAAAAGCCAGAGCCCCGATGATATCATTTGATGGGGTCAGAATCCATCTGGAAAGCTTTGCATGCACAGTCCTAATTGCTCCTCCTGAACGGCAGCACAGGAAAACCGTGTTGTGGAAGGAACCTGGCCAAGGAGTAAACTGACCTGATTCATTTTGAGCTTCTCATAAGGGATTTCAGTAATGTGCCAGGCACATTAAGCAATTATTACCCTAAAAATGGCTGCATTTAACCAAGAAAAGCAAATGCTGATTTTAAAAAATCTGAATCCTCCCATATTTGAATAAACTGAATGATGTCATCTCCAAGTTAATTCCTTTCAAAATTCAAAGGAGCTGTGTTTCCTAGTATCTAAAGCAAAAACCAGAAAAGCCATTTTATATAAAGATCTTAAAATACTGTTCTTAGTTTTCCCTGGAAGACAGCAGGTAGGCTTCTTAACCCAGCTTTATGTCTGTGGATTAGGTTGGTATGCACCGACATGGGTGCCAACCACGGAAAATTCACTGTGTCAAACAGCACCACTGAGTGACCCCCCGACCACACACACACACACACACACACACACTACACTGGATTACAGCACTCTGAAGGAAGGGTTTACTGTCTCAGGAGAAAAGTGACTAGTTTGTTCTGCAGCTTGAGTACCCTTTGGGGTGACTGGAAAAATTTGGGGTTTGGACACAGGACTAAGGGGGCAATTGTTTCTTATGAGGAATTGAGGGGAGAGGTAAAGTGGAATAGATACTAAGTAGAATTTGGAGGCTGAAACACTGGACATCTACCTTTTCTGTCCAGTGCCAGGCGCTGCCATCTGAGCTCAGTATCTCTGATCACAGCCCTGCAGTTCCTGCTCAGTCTTTTTCCACGTCTGTTTTTGCCATCCCTTAATCCCAACCCTCTGTCATCCCTGACCACCGATGGAAAAGCAGCGAAGAGCATGGTGTCCAGAGTGGCAGTGCTTCTGCCTCCAACTCGGTGGTCCCACGGTCTCAGCCTTGGCAGCTTCCAGGGGTGGTGACTCCGGATACCACCTCACTGCCCCCTAGAGAAACTGAGGTCTCGTTCCCTCCAGCTATGGTAATTCCCTACAGTGCCCTCCTCAGACAGAAAAGCTGAAGAGAGAAGGATCACAATAGACAGTTTAACAGCAAAAGATGAATCTCTCGTCTCAATAGTTTAGGATCTGAAATATTTCCCAAACAGCTAAGGAATAATGATGGTCACGGATACTCCTCAGGGCCTTGGAAGTTTCTCGTTAAGGACCAAGGACTTGAAGATAATGATGCTATCCGCTGCCAAATCCTGTAGCCACATCACTGCTGCTTTACTGTCAACTAGATCAGAAGATTTTGGCAGATCTAATAAAGTCAGCCTGGACATCTGACCTC